TTCAAGCGGCGTTTTGTTCAATTGAAATGCGTGTCACATGCAATGAAATGTCGTCCAGAAGTCACGTTTCTCCTCCTTCTTTGAGAGCTATAGAAAAATCGAATAGGTAATCGAATGGTGCTCCAAAAATGCTTCAAAAATCACAGAGTGGCTGAACGGGAATGTTGTTTGCTGCTAAATTTCCCATATGGCCCGTAAACTGCAGAGACAATTAAAAAAGGTTGGCTTAAAATATGTAAGAGCCTCCCAGTTTCCATTGCAAGAGAGAAAATTCACTGAAGCGTGGGGGAGTTCGTTTGTTGGGGGGAGAATGGAATTTGCGTTGCGTTTTGGGAGCCATAAAACCAGAAACGAAAAGCAAAACCACTGAAGCAGAAGGGCGCTGAAAGAATTTTGTGGCATTTTTATTTTTTAAAAGGAAATGTTTAAAATATATAAACAATTGGCTTTTAATTATTTCAAAAATAAATGAAAGATTTAATTTTAATTTTTAATTTTTGATATTTTCTTTTTGCTCTCATTTTTAAAGTAATTTCCATGGGTATTAGCTTGTTTTGTCGTATTCCCCCATGCGGTGCAACATTGTATTCCAGTTCCTGCCACATGTTGTGCTCCAGTTTCCAGTCAGCGACTCGAAACATATGGCAAAAGCCCCAAACAGTTGCAACAAGCAATGCATCGCATTTTGTCGCATTCCAAAGCCTCAGCTGTCGGCTGTTTGGTTTTAGGCCACAGAAAAGCAAGGGACAGACAGAGAGACAGACAGAGACATAGATATGCCTAATGGCATCCGAAATTTGAAATTGGAATCGAAATCGGATACAAAATAAAACCCACACACATCACACCACACAAATCCACAGAGCACCGCACCACAGACGGATGGTATTCGTATTCTATCGCACAAATTGGTTGCGGGGGTTCCGTGGTTCCGCGTCTAAATCGAGTCTCAATTACACAAAACACACAAAAAAATAACAAATTAGAATGATTTTATGATACTTCATACTATGAGGATACCCATTAATGTGAGTTTTTGAGTTCGTTGCTCAAACCTTCATACTTTAATAGATGAAAATCAGAATATTAAGCATTCCTGTGTTATGGTATGGAAACTTTACAGAATACAATGGAAATATAAATAGTCGTAGAGTTAAGTTGCCATTGAATTGGCATCCAAAGAGCTTTCTTCATTTCGTTCCATCGGTTATACCCCTTGCTTTGCTACAGGGTATATTACGCTCATTTTCCCTCTCTTGAAAATTGGTTTCGATGCTCATTAGAAAAGCGCGGGTTACGCCACGCCCCATACCGCATACCCCTTACCCACACTCTGAACTCTTGCTTTGCATTTTTTGCCCCGCGATCATTAAATGCTTAACCAAATGAAACGCTAAAGCGATACACAGATACTCGGATAACTCATAAAAGTATCTGTATCTGTGGTTCTGGGCTCTGACTTCTGGCTTCTCGATTCTGAATAGGGTGTGTGCCGCTTTGGGGCGAGCACTGGGTGTGTGTGCCTCTGTGGAGAGGAGAATGTGTCTGCATCGTTTATCTGAGAGAGCAACATGTGCTCTGTCTTTAAAGAATGTATTTACTGCAGGGGTCGGCACACAGACTCACACGGGGGGGGGGGGGGGGGGGGGGGGGGGGGGGGGCGGGGGGGGGCGCAGGCCCGGAGCGACGCGGCGCGGCACGCGCGCGACCCGATTACTGAGACATGAAATGGTGTCATGAGGGGGAGGAGAAAATATTCTGGAAGTGTTGCTCTGTTCGGAAAAGGGGTTAATTTTAGGGGCACTTCAGACGGAAAGAGATCATCCATGATAAAAGAGCATTAATTAAAGATCACAATTGAAGTTCGTTTCGGGAATAAAGATCATCAGCAGAAGATCTCTGTGGTATGGAATACGTGTGTCACAAGCGGAATATTTCTCGCATTTTGTATAAGAAATTTAAATGGAAAATAAAACCACTTAAAGGAACCAATTATATTCATATATAATTAGTAAAAAATAAAGCTAGAATCCTATATAACTCTTACCAATTAAAATTCCGGGTTCCATATCTGCTTAATCCTTAAAAAGTCGCCTTAATCCTTAAAAATCGTTTCAGCTTTCGTTTCGTTTTACAGATTAAAAATCACACACAAAAATCACAAAATTAAATGCTTTTCAAGGTTCGGAATGGGTTCGTTGAATCACATGGAAACACACACATTCGCTACTTTTTATCGGAGGGATTCGGGGAATTCGAAGTGGGGCGGGGACTGTGTCGTAATGGGAGTGACTGTCGTATCGAAGGGCCACTGCTACTCCATTTCGTTGCTTCAACACCTTTTGCACCTTTTATTCTCGCGATTCTCCGTTGATTTGTTGACGTATTATTTTCACTTTAATTAAAATTCGCTTTAAATGAAGGTGCGCCAAAGAAATTCTACAAGTTAAATGTTAAATAAATATTGTAGAATGATAAAAAGTGACACCTGTAGCACTTGTAACATTTAAAGAGGCGGTTTTTTTTTACCCCATGGAGGGTATGTATTTCCACGTATAAATAACTTTGGTATTTATGCAGTTATTCCGACGAAACTTCACTAATTTCAATATAATTTCACCCTTCGTAGTCCTGTCAAATTTCTTCCAAATCGAATGTCGGTTTCATAGTAAAGATCGGTCTGGTGATGTCCGTCTCCCGTATTCACCACTTTATCGCCTTCTTCTGCCACTCTTGTTTGTTTGTTATTCTATTTCCTTTTTTGTTGTTATTCCCACGAAGAATACAACTTTTGCGCACGCGCAAACACAAAATAAACAAAATCAAAGCAAAAAGGGGAACCGATTGCAGAAGAAGTGATGAAGAGAGGAAGAGAAGCGCGAGGCGAAAACACAAGCAGAAAACAAAAACGAAAAAAAAAAAACAAACTACCGTTAAACGAGCCAGAAACAACAACATATTTTTCGTATTTCGTTTTTTAATGAGTTTTCTTGTTTGTTTTTGCATGTATTCTCTTTTTTTACACTTTATCAATTTCCTTTCAGATAGCTATCCCGTTCCCACTGCCTCCTCCACCTCATCCACCCCTGCCATTGCTTATCGAAGATTCACACAGGTGGCTCTCTCTCGCTCTCACTCTATCACTCTCTCAAATACAAAACAAACACCGGTTTAGAAGTCAAGCGTAGGGGGTCGAAGTTTTGGATACCCTTGCAGATCGATTTTATATAAGAGCCACAAATAATAGAAACTATAGGACCAGTTCTCATGGGAAAAAGAAAGACGATTAAGCCCGATGATCAAAAATATAATTATTAGGATCAGAATTTCCTATACTTTCTGCATTGATCACATTTTTGGCCAAAACCATCATGCCCTTGGCAGAGTGGGTACCAACAGTTTTGTTTCTGCTTTGACTTGCTTGCTCTCTCTCTCTGCCGCCTCTCTTTCTCTTTTCTGTTACTGTTTTTACTGTGTTGGTGTTCTTATTATTGCCATCTCTGTCGCTCCTGCTGTGTCTCTGCCACTATCTTTGTCACTCTCTCTGTTACTGGTTTTGGTGTCTCTGCCAGCTCTTGCACAAAGCATATCAAAATAAAGGTAAAGCAGTGGCAGTGTCGCTTTGGACGAGGGTCTAATCCTCTCACACACGCATTCAACTGTCTCAGACCGCCGTACCTTTCATTTAATATGCCTTGATCTTGCCGTTCTTATTGCTCTCTATCTCTGTATGTCGCGGCCAATTTGTGAGTCAAAGATTGGTATGTATGTGTTGGTGTGCATTGGTAAATGCGTGAGAAAAAGAGTTAATTAAAACTCGAATTAAAGCCGCACAGTCACATGAAATTATTATAATTCTTCAGCTAACAACATTATGCCCACTTTTTGTTTGCATTTCAATCAAAATTATTGTTAACATTTGCATTTCAACAACTTGTTGCTCTCACACACACACACACACACGCGTACGCCTTGAACTTCAGCTTCGCTGTTTTTTTTGTTGGCTGTAATTGGATTTTGTACTACTTTTTCGCCGCCTTTTTACACTGTTTTACCTTAACGCTTTTAATTATTATTAAACTTCATTTTCTTTCGTTAATAGCACACTTTTTTAATAGCCACTTATTGCCAATTTCTTGTTGTTTTTTGTTTGATCGTTGAGAAAAAGCATCCGCAAGTTCGTTGTTAAGTTCGTTTGAAAAACATGTTTGATCACGCTCGTGGCGCGTTTTTCAAACCGACTTTTAGCCGCTCTCAAAAGTAGCTGAGCTTGAAAATGTTGCGCGCAGCAGTCGCGTGTTGCTAACGAAAAATACGGGTATGGATCAGAGGCGAAACGGCCCGGAAAATTCGACGCATGCAAGACAAAACCAAACCCAAAACAAATCATACCATTAAGGTTTGCAAGGTATATCTTTGATCAAACACGGTGGGGTGAGGTTCTTAGGCGCCTTTGAATGTTGCTGGGCCATTTCTTGTTATCGTCATACCTTGTCATAGCCCATTGGAAGAAAAAGAGAGAGCGCGACTCATTTTTGCAGTGAGCGAGAGGAGTTTGTGAGAGAGCGAAAGAGAGTAAACGATGTTCTGATTGGAATTGTGGCCTTCGATTTAATTAAAGTGAGAATATATGGGTTTAATTAATAATTGTCAATAAATGATGGGTTTTAAAGGGTCAAGATATGGGCTTATGATGTAAATTTTCCGGTTTGCGCCTTCGCGCACTTGGCATACCCTGTAAATATGTTATTTATTCAGTTTTACTTAAATCTGTTGGTTGATTTTCCTATAAATATGACACCCCTTAGAAGATATACCTCCCCGCTACTGTTGTTGAAGATTCTACACCCCGATTCGCCAAAAATTTCACTCCGCAGTGGCATTTTATCAAAGTTTTCATATCTTGAACAGAATTCGTGTGTAGAAAATCCCATAACAAACACTAGATAAGGGGCTAGACGTCTCTGAGCGACTGTAATACCCTGTAGTCATAGACTTACCCATGGTTTTCACACGGAACTCCTCGTAGTCCATAAGTGGTGGTGTTATGGCACCCTGTACCGTGTTCTGGTAATCCTCTTCGCTGTAAACCGAATCATAATCGCTGGCATTATGCATTTTTTAATGGGATTTATGGATCACTTTTTCCTTGGGAAGTAGGGGACACTTTATTAATTCATTAAGTACTCTGAAATGTATATATATGTATATATATATCACTTTTGTATGATTTTGGTTATTTCTTGGAGGAGCTCCAACACTATATGTAGCATTCTTTTAGGCATAGGTAAATTTATGACAAAAACAGGTCATTCTTTCCCGAAAATTGCATTATCACAAGAGGGATGAGGGGATTACAATAGATCAGAAGCTCCTTAGGGTATCCCACAGCACTTATCCATTGGAATTGATAATATTTTTGGGCGCTTCTACCCGTTAACGAAACGTAGTAGTGTACAAAGGTGAATCCATGCACAAAATTTCACTATCTTTATGAGGTTTCTTCTAATGTGTTAAATCGAACCCGTTTAAGGGATTGCCCTGCCCGTACCCCAAAACCGTAACGCAGCCGACTCTACAGACCTTCCGCACCGACTTCCGACTAAAACACGACTAAGGTACTCCATAGAACACAGAGAGGCAGCGGTTTTCTGGCTAATCAAGAGCAAATAATACGAAGGCTATCGGCAACAACAAATCTACATTCTACATTCTCTGATTAGAATATAAAGACATTCATTCCATGTCTCGTATTCGTATTTGCAGTGAGAGGAGCGGCGCGTGCTATCTGTTGCTCTCTCCCTCTTTCGCTCTCTCTCTCCAGCGAAAGTAATCGCTAGAAAGAGAGGTGAACACATATTTTGTATATGTATCTTATCGCTCAGGTAGAACACAAGTCAAGATACGAGCTTATGCGACTGTCGTCTAGTATTTCCCCAAAAAATTCGTTCAATTATTTAATGCACTTCACTCGTTTGATAAAAACACAAATGTTACGATTGTAGGGTGAGAAAATATGGCGAGAGGGTTCCGTACTTTTGAGGGGTAAAGTCTTTATCTATTTGGATGACTTCCTCAATAAGTTGTGTGATACGAATCTGTGTAGGAAATGCCAGAGACTTATCTTTGAAGGAAAGAATTCCCCTTGAGGTAGGAAAAAGTCTCCAAAAAATGCGCTTAAATAATTATATGTCCATAGAGATATAATTCCAATAAAGAATCCATTAATTATAATTCTCCATTAATTTCTGGAACATCAGAACGACTACCAATATTCTCTTTCTTATCCTATTCCTTCCCCTCAATAAAAACACAATATTATATTTCGTTTTCGTTCTTTTGTTTTTTGTTTTTAAAACAGCACACCAAATAAAAATATTTATTTAAGTTACTTTTTCATCGCTTCTTTTGTTTCTTTTCTTGAATGTTTGTCATTTTTGTTGAATGTTATCCATATTTTCTATAACACATAAATTTCTGTAGTATTTCTTGTAGTGTATTTTCAAACATTAATTGTATATTTTCATATATAATTATGATTATAATATACTTTTTTTTTGTTTGATTTTTGAAGAGCGATTTTGTCTCTTGTTTGCTTTTTGGAGTACGAGTATATTTTTCATTGCTATCTGTCTATTTTCTGTCTACGGTTTTAGTGAGTTTTCTCTTTAAGATATGTATTTATATATTTCTATATTTCAACTATTTGTTTTGGTAGTAACTTTGATAGTTAAAACAAAAGTCAAGGGAAATCATTTTTGAAGTAAAATCAAATCTAAAATTATAAATTGAAAAGCTGAAACATTTGTTTTAATGTATTTTTAATTATATCTTCTGTAAATTTTTGTAAAATTGTTTCAGGATTTTAAGAGTTCAATGGGTCAGTTTTGGTTTAAAACCCTGAAACAAGTTACAAATGTTTTATAAGAAATAAAAAACTGATACAGAAATCATTAGCAATTATGGCACTAATTAATAAAAAGGTTTAATAATTAAAAAAAATCTCCTTCGGTGTGTTTTTTACTCATAAATATATTCGTATTTCGCTTAATTGTATTTGATTTTTAAGTTTTTCTTCCACTTCATATTTTCGTCTTCATATTTGATATGTTTTTGTTGTTTGTGTTTTGCTTGATATGTTTGCATATATTTTGTATTACCATATGTATAATTTTCTTGATCTGATCAGATCTGCTGATATGTTTTGCGATATAGGTTTTCCGTGGCTTACAATTTGTATTGTATATATTTTTTTAAATTGTTCAAAAATATTCACAAAGAGAAAACAAATAATTTTTTTTTTGTAGATTTGTCATCTTTGTTTTTTAGTTTTTGTTAAGTTTAAAATCAACCAAAGTGAAACACACAAAATTATCACTTTTGTTTTTTTCGGTTTTACTTCTGGTTTTCTTTGTTTTCCTTTAGCTTTTTCTTTCGATTTTCCATTCGTAAATCATTTGCATCGATTATGGAATTTCGTAGTTTGTCTCCTCTTTATTTACATGGGGCCTTTTACACTCGTATATACCATATATATCATGTTCATATACATATATATATATATAGTTCAATGGATCAGTTTTACTCGGTTCTTTCGTCTTGTAATATTTACTCTTGACTTGCTTAAGTGTTGTATTTGATTAAATATCTTTAATATATATATATAATGTTTAAATAGACAACTATATTTGATAAAAAGTTTTCTCGAATAAATAACGTTAGTGGTTCTGATCTATCAGCTAATTCAAGGTACTTATAACTCCATTAAAAATTGTCCTTCCTTTTTCCTTTCAACGTTGGGTTTCGTTTTTTAATCCTCACTTTATTAAAACTTTTTTTCTTTATGTTTCTTTTAGTTTTCTTTTCAACAATTCCGTGCTCCATTTTTGAAATAATTTTAAGGAATAATAGACTTCTTATAACTAGAGAGGAAAGTGTTTTGTGTGTGTGCGTTTTGAGAACCAATTTCAATGTTTTTTTCGAATTAGTTTCCAAATATTTTTGGGTCAGTTTTTTGGTTGAACAGAAATTGGCTCTCAAAATTTTGTAGAATCTCATTTTGGTTACAAATTTTTGGGTTTTTTTATATATGTTTTTTTTTCTAAGAAATATATTTGTTAAGAATTTGAGTAAAGTTTGAGTTTTTATGGAATATATAATCTTAAGTTTCTGTTTATTATATTTTTTAGACACACATAAACATATTTTTTCGTGAATTATGCAACTCAAAACGGTTTCCGTAATGGGTTTTTCTTTTTCCCTCTATTTTTGTTTGCACAGTAGCTCGACAATTGGATATACTATGGGATATATATCTACCTAGACATCGTAAGTATGATATACATATATACTCATTTTCTGAAGAGGGTTAGTAGATAAGCTGCAGGGCTTCTACTTCTTCTAATTTTAAAACACTAAAAACTAAAGAAATTTGTAAGTTTTAATATTTGTTTAAGATATAGGAAAAGTGAATAAAATTTCATAGAAGATTCTGTAGTGGAAGGTTCTTTACTGAAGGTCTTTGAGGTTTCATTTTGCTCATTTAGGGACTTTAGTTTCGTGAATACCATAAGTGATCGGTTTACTTTACGGATCTAAGAAGCCTTGAAACACTATTACATATACATCAATAAAAATCAATATATTCAATATATATATAGTATATATGTTTCAGAAAAGTTTTTTTTTTGTTTTCTTTGTTTTCTTTTTTTGTATTTTTCATAGTTTTTCTTTTAGGTTTTCCTTTTTTTGCCAAACGATCCTGCTTCCATATTTTATTCATTTATTTTATTTAGTTCTCATGAAGGATTTTTGTTCTTTTGTTTTATTTACTGAAAATTGCGCACTGATCTTCTCAAAAATAAATGTATAGATTTTCAATGGAAATTGCAACAAATATTGAGAGAGAAATTCGAGGAGAAAGTGTAGGAAATAGCGCTGAAATTTTGAGAGAAAGCTTTTAGAGAGAGCAGCCAAATTTGTTCTTCTATTTTTAACATCTTTAAATGTTTTATTTTTTTTGTTTCTTTTTTGTTGTGGGTTTTTTGCAATTTTTTTTTTGTTTTGTTTTTAGTTTTCTTGATTTTTGGGTTTTCGTTATTTTTTATAAAAAGTGTTTTGGAAAAGTAAAACAATAAAGAAAAAGTAAAGGAAAATCGAGATTTAAGAGAGAAGAATATAATCGAAAGGCATAAAAAGAGTTTGAGAAAATATCTAATGGCGTGGTATGAATAGAAATGAGTGTTTGGGTGAGTGTTTTTGAGTGTTTTGGTGAGTGCATTCCCATTTAATAATTGTAATTATCATATGGGGCACCCAAATACGAATAGAAATTAGGATTGATGGGCTGTGCATGGGCATAATAAAATCCAGAAGCCGGATCTGGCGCTACTCAGTCGAGGAAGCCGGTATTCACCAGCTTCTCCAAGAAGAATTTCACATCTCCCAGCTCCGAGTCCTTGATGCCCAGCGATTTCAGCATACCCAGATCCCCATTCTCCACGGCCATGAACACCGAGCGCAAGTGTTCCAAATCGGATCTGCAATAAAAGAACAAAACCCAAAAGAAAATGGCATTAATTTTCATTATTTTCTTTTCAGATTAATTGCACAGCTTAAATGAATTTTTTTTTTTCTCTCTGGCGAATGTCTTAAGCCAAAGAAAAGAAAAGTAAGAGGGGTGCATTCGTTGGCAAAGTGGCATTTAGTTGGGGATAGTCCTTGAGGGACAATCCCCAAAAGTTACAGTGGCTTGAGGTCTGGGAAAGGGGCTTTGGGCTAATATTTTTCTTAGAATCTATTTTAAATGTATTATAAAAAATTCATGCAGATAGATCAAATAAAAAAATCTATCATCATTAAAAAGGCCCAAGAAATGTTAAAAAATAGCTTATGCAGCAGAAACTAATATCAAAGACTGAGGAGTGCTTTTGCATAGTACGTTATACCTTAAAAGCACCTTCTCTGAGGTTAATTATACCCTAAACCTATTCCGAAACTTTTTCTTCGTTTCAGGACAAACTTTTGCCACATTTTCTCATGCTCACATACCAATGTCCCTGTACCTCCCCCCTGCCTAATAGTACAACTTATAAAGTAAGCCAAAGCTACTCTTACCCACTCACACACATATCCAAACCACATGTACGCATACACACACTCACACAGATACACACTCATCCTTGAACATGGAGACAAGTTTAAGCTTTTGTGCGGCGAGCTTCAAATTATACGCTTTGCTTAATTAATCCCTGCTGGTATCGTGCAACCATTCTGCTGTTGCTTCTAGCCAGTTGTTTGTTGGTTCTGTGGCACCCCCCAGCCCCCCATTCTCTTCTCTTTATCTATGGTACTCCCATAAGAATTTTGTATACCCTTATAGAGAGGCTATGGATTGCCAAAGAGCAATAGGGCTTAATTTCTGTATAAATTCTTTATTTGAAAAGATATTTGAATGAAACTTTGCGGATTGCTGTAAAATATGTTTGTTTGTATATATCTAAAATTTCCTAAAAATCGGATAATGTTTTCTACACCTTGAAGCTAAAAAGAGTAAACACTTTGCGTACTAGAGATTTTGTTTTCTTATGTTTCTTGTTGCTTGTTTGCTAGATGAACTTCGTTATCATCAACATAATTAACAAGCAAGTGGTAAAGGGAGACATGAAAGCAGAGGGAGAGAGAGAGACAGAGTAGGGCAGACGGCATAAGAAGAGTGCAAAATACACATTAATAACATTCGTGTGTGCGTGTCTTGTGGTTCGAGTTTTGAGGTCGGATTCGGGTTTGGTTTGGTTTTGTATGGTCGGTCTCCGGTTCATTCATCCAATTTTATCTTTCTGCCTCTCTCTTTTTTTTGCATTGCTATCTCTCTCCCTCTTGCAGAATGACATTATGACACTTGGACGATTAATTGCGTTGATGAAATTGTGTAAAAATACCAAAGGAAAGGGCAGAAGATGTCGTGAGGGCCAGACAGACAGCACCTACGTGAGGTCCTTTTACATTTCTGCCTCTCACTGTAGCTGCCCTTAATTTTCTGCTGTTTTTTTTTTAGATTTTGTTACACGATGGGTTTTTACCCGACGCTTTTTCAGAGAAAAAAGTTAATTCGACCTATGCGAAAAATTTGAAAGCCAGAATTTACCCATACAAACTGTGTGCTACAAAAGCTAACGTGCAACAGCGTGTGCCTCATCCATTTACGGGTTGTTTTGCTAATTTATCAACATGTGCGTGAAGCCAAATATTTTCATGTCCTTTTGTCTGGACTCCCCGAGCGTTGGTCCCGAGTACCTCCTGTCGGGGTCTCCACAATTTTATTATTATTATTATTGCCCCCACAGCAAACTAGGCACAAAACCCACTGCCAGCCCATCCAATTTTGTGGTTAGTTTTTGTTGTACTAATTTAATGAAAATTCTCTTCTCTCAGTTTGTGTTTTTCTTGGGGGCCTCTGCCTTCCTCCCGCTCTCTCTTTTGTTGTTATTTTTGTTAATTAAATTTGAGCTTTTGTTTATCTTTTAACAAAATGAAAGATGAGTGTAGGAGGGTGGGAAGGAGGTTGGTAGGGTGGTAGGGAGACTGTATGTATGTATATGTGGGTAAGCAGGGAGGGAGGTAGGAGAGCAGGGCATAATTAATGCATGTTTGAGGGCTAAGATTGACACGAGAATGAAGGCAGTAACAAAAGTGAATTAAAGTGCAGAAAAAGTACAATATGTGATGGGGAAAAAATAATCTTTGGAATCCAGGGATAAGAGTCCAAACAACTTTTCATTATACCATCGTAGATTTTGAGTAGGTTTTTCCAGCAACAAATCTGCGCTGCTACGTGTTCTTTAAACTCTCAGTTAATTCCACATTTAAAGGACAAATATAAATTCCACTCATATCATTGCTTTAACGGCTTCAGCCTCTACTCCTTTCCCTAACACCCTGTGGACCTTTATACCCTTACCACATTTCCTAATTGAATTCATTAGGATATGGAAAATATTTTGTGTGCTTAGGACAAAGCCAAATAAATAACATGAGCAGCAGCAGCAGCAGCAGCAGCAGACGCTCGCTCCACAAAAGCTTCTCTTCATAAACTAAAGCCAACAAATAAAAAAAGGCAAAGAGAGAGAGAAAAAATATGGAGAATAAGAGGGGAAAAAATATGATAAATATGTATGAAATATTTGAAAATTTTATGACACTTTCTGTGTGTGTGTGTGTGTGTGTGTTTATTTTTTGGGGTTGCCTTGAACCCCTGAAATGTTATTGTGCCAGCAGCCACACAAATAACAAAGCAACGGGTGGGGGGAGGGGCAGAAAAAGGACCCAGAGATAATTCATGGGACAAGGACAAGGACACAGAGGACGGTGCTCTGTGAATAGTTTTACAGGAATAAAAGGATTCCCAACCATAGCTTGGGGCTATGCCGAAAGTTTACTTGAAGTGGGATTAAAATTATGTATGACCAAAAAGGGAAAGGAGGGGGAGGGGGGACAAAACACTCGTATCTGGTCGCTTAAGGGTCTGTGACCACACAAATTGCAGCCCCGAGCCATGGAACTCACCTCATTAGTCGTAGGGCAGCACCAAAGTCCTCAATCGTTTGCGATTCACTCAAAGCGATTGCCACCTTGTCGACGCCGCCCAGAGGTGACAGGGCATCACGTGCCTTGCTGCCAAAAAGCTTCTCCAAATAGTTGGGTCCATGCGATGCAATCAGGCTCTGCAGGAAGGATGCCGTTTCCTCCACCGGTGGTCGTTTGGCTGAAAAAATGGATACAAAGGATATTTATTTGTGAGTGTGTGTTAAAAGAGGCCTCGTACAATAGTTTCAATTAATAATCCCACATAATTCCCTGCAGCTTAATGCATTTGGCATTCGCTATACCATTCACAATTTAATTGATTTTACTCATTAAGAAGCATCATCAATTGCGCATTTGGTCATTATTTTGTGGAATTATTAATAATTGAGCAGAGCGTCACAATTTACATTTTAAATGTGGAAATATGTTTCATAAAATTTATAATTAATTGACTTTTCTGACCATTTTCTGTGTTGTTATTGTAGGTTTATTTTCACTACTAATTAAAATGGAATAATAAAAGCAGAAAGGTTTATTAATGATTAATTATGAGTCTTGGAAGGCTCTTGTAAAATTCATAAAAAACTTATGGAACCTATACTTAATTTTATGGTACCTTAAGGTACCAGCTAATCTCCAGTGAATACCGTACAGACGCCTCATCGAAACCCTAAGCATAAAACACTCCAAAATATTTCTGAGAATTTTCTCTCCCCACTCAGGAGTAACATTTATTAAATTATGAATTCATATTTGTCTAAGGAACTCATCTCACTTTTATGACACATATTCTTGCATGATAAATGTCTGACAATTTTCCAAGCATTAATATTAACAGTAGCCTTTAGTTACTCTTCCGCTTTTCACTCCCATTACTTTTCTTCCAAACTTTTTGGCACACGCCTGCATCTAAAATGTTTGGCTCTAAATAATTCAGGAACTCAACAAACTCCTTTGAGATTTGATAAATTCGGACTACATATTTTAAAGGGCCATAAAAATCACAGACTAAAGATATGTGACTTGAAAAATACAAGAAACTTTAAAGTTCCATGGAGAGATGACATGTGGCCCGAAGTGCATGGCTGTGTTCAGGGAATTCCCCTCAATTTCTGTGTATTTTCTGTAGCATAAAGGAGTGGACTGTGGACTGGTATATTTTGCATTTTATTTTATGCTTTTGCTGAATAGGTTTCTCTTTCATTTCTTCACAATTTTCTTCATGCTTATTTTTTTGGTTTTTTCCTAGTACTTTCTTTTGTGTTTCTTTATTTATTCTTGCCGTTGCACAACCAAATGTTTATGGGTCATTCTGTGGGTCGCTCTGTCAGTCTTTCTGTCTGCCATTCATAGGTCTCAGAGTAGCCGTCCCTGCAGTCTGTCATTCAGGTCGTAGCTTGCTCGTCCATCACGTCATTCAGTCAGTCATGCACAAAGGGCAGACTTTACAGTGCTTGGGCGTCGCTGTTTTTTAACCCGCTGACTGCACTTGTTAAACCATGGGTGAACCTGTGGCTCAGTCTCGCTCTTTCGCACACACCCACCACACACACATATGCTGGCATTTTTAATGGCTGCAAGGACACGTATGCATGCACGAGTATCCTCCAGCTCTATCTATGCTCTCTCTATCCACCCAGCGCTATGCTATGCTCTGCTCGAGTGTGTGTGTTGATTCAGTTACTGACTTTATTTGTTATGCAAATGGCGATGTTCGCAAACCGTTTTCCCTCTCGTTCGTTCGTCGTTTCTTTTTGCCCATATCCTGTGGGAGTTTGAATGCTAAAAATACCCTGTATATGGTTGAGAGGAGGATAGAGAGGGCGGTACCTTAAACTAAAGCAATCGAAATCTGGGCAGATCGTTCAAACTATCTATCTAAATATTCACTTTTATTAAGATCAAACCATATTTACTATACAAATATTTTCCAGCTAAAAATAGTTTGTTTCTCATGCCAAAGGAGTTCTCCTGCAGCTCTTCTTTGACTAAAGGGTAACTGGAACGTCTTATCAATCGAAAGCCACTTTCCTGTGTATACTTTTTCCGTTGAGTCGCCTATATGAGCTTCTGTTCCGTCATGTATTGCATACACCGCCTGGGATGACCCAGTAGCTTGAGAGGGAGGAGAAGGGATAGCCGAGTAGCATGAGAGAGCGGAGAAGGGATAGCCGAGTAGCAAGAGAGGCGAGAGGGCTGCTAGTAGTATGAGACTAGGAACCCAAAGCTATGGAAGGAAGGGTGGCTCTCGCTGCTGTGGGACATTTGGATTGTCGCCTGTTGTTTGCCTTTAACTTGTTACATATTCCACTCCAGGAGGTACATATATCAGTCGTTTAGATTAAAGTCCTACGTGGCAATTCCGCTACTCGCATCCACTCCTCTCCCTCCCTCCTATTACCCTGTAACGGCACCCTGCGTGGGTTAACATTTTTAAACTTTTTGTCCGTCGTTGTTGTTGGCCCCGATAAAATGTATGCAAAATTATGCTAATTTCCCCCGGGGCATGGTTATTCGAGTGCAGTGTGTTAAAAGTTTACATTCCAATGGTTTTTTATTGCAGTTCTACGTTGAAAAAAAGTAACCCTAAAAGATGCTCCAAAAACTGTGCCTGAGTGGACTTTTAATGAAGGGTCCAGCTCCAGCCCTTCCATAGCCATTTGCATATATGAGAGAAATTCATTTATGGGTTAATTATTCCAAGTTTTATTTGAATACCGCTTTCATGTGGAAGGAATTTTCTTTGGTTGAACTTTGCCGGCGGGGGGGTTAAACTATAAAAATTCATTAACTACAGATTTGAGTTTGAGTTTCCTGGAATTTGTACGAATTTTAAGACCCCATTTAGTGATTAGTTCTTTTATAAATTCTTCATACATCTTTGCCAGATTTCTGTGACTTCTCTTCCACTTCTCCTTGCGTTACTTTGGCTTTATCATTTTTTATTGTACAATGAAGAATCTCACTTTTCGAACCCTTTGTTTTTTTTTTTGTCTCTTCTTACAATCAGTTTGCACATTAATTATTACCCATTAAGCAGCAATTTGTGTTTCGCCCCAAGGATATGGACGTACAGCCAAGCAATTAAACAAGTGCCGGTTGGGGTCTTAGTCAAGTTACAAAAAATTGGCCTTCAGCATTCGTTTTGTCTTTCAACTGTTGCCTGGGAGACGGCAGACCCACAAAAGAGGAGTCAGTCAGTCAGTTGTCCTTGGGGGGGTGGGGGCAGGGAGGTAACGAGTCCCTCCTGGTAACGAGAAACCCGACGCATATTTTATCAAAGACTTTCACGAGGTTGGAGCCATAACTTAAGCCAACGCCGGAGTGCCAGAGCCACCGACACTTCCTAAATGATTTCATTGTCGAAAAAAATAGTTTATTTTGCTTCTATTTTCGCCCGAGCGCTAACAATGGAGCAAAACCCGAGGAAAATTTATGCCATTGTGCAGGTTAAAGCGGAACGGGCACTCGGGAAGGCAGGAAAATGAAAGCACAGCGAGAGAGAGAGAGAGAGAGAGAGTGGGGAAGAGAGTAAGAGTGGGGGAAAGTGGAGTCTTGGTATCTCAACTTTCAGGCCAAACTGAATGGCTGGCAATTAGCAGCAACAATTTGCTGTTTTAGCCTCAAGTTTCGCTTTTCCACCCTCGCAAAAAGGAAAACCAAACCAATTTTCAAGCCCAATTAGTTTAACTTTTGTTTGTTTTTTTTTTTCAAAGTAAGGATGGGGAAAAAAACGGACTGCCTGACATAATTATGTACACTATATAAAAATCCGTAATTGCCGCAGCCATTACTCTTCCATGGGCATTATATATTTGCTACTATCTGGAATCGTTTCACTTACATTTTAATTGCATTTATGGACTGGCCGAATTAATTAAGGTTTTTCCTTTAATTGGCTTACAAATTGATTTCATTATTGAGCCGATTGTAAATCAATGCAGCCTGCGGGGCTGAATGTGCGGCCACTAATGTGAAAAGTTTTTGTGTGGCTTGTGGGTGTGGTTCATTCTTTGGGGGCAGAAAAACTATCAAGGCTGAGAGAAAACTTTATTGTGGAAAAAAAGTAAGAAGAGTGGAAGAAGAGAGTTCGTGCCATCTTAGAGCACTTTCTACAGGACATCAAAGAAGAGCCCTGACAAAACATTTATTTCGTGTAAAACTTTCCTTTGAAGCTCCCACTGAATCCTATTAAAAAAAAAAAAAAAACACTTTAAACAAACTCTAATTTTTAACCAATTACTTTACCAATTTATGAAACTTTCAAAGGTCTTTCCATGCTTGACATAGAACTCATTTCCCCTGACCCTGAAACTCAGAAACAAGTGAAACTTTTTGGCGTGTTTTTTTTTGCGCACATAAACTTGGCTGCAACTTGTTTTAATTTGATTAGACGAGCAGCTGCCACAAAAAGTGCAACACGCCGAGGAAGAAGCAAAACTTTGATGTGGCTCCTAGCCCCCCCTGGCTACATAATTCATTTCCAGGGAAATATGTTCAAAATTTTAATGAAACTCGTAAGAAGAAATGCTAATCACTGGCAGCTCTATGCATCAAAAAACCAAAGCAAATTATTTATGGCTTATGGCTGGAAATTCATTCATGAAGAGAGAGAGAGAGAGATGTTGATTGGGAGCTTACCCGCTGTACAAAGACGCATATCCTCGTCGTATCCGTCGGAGCAATCGGGTGCACCATCGCATAAATATTGAATGGAAATGCAATTACCATCGCCGGGGCACTTAAATGGTTCATATGGATGACAGGGATCTGCAAATATACACAGAAAAGTCGCAAAATTACAATTGGGCTTTAAATTTGCTACACAGAAAATCCCCCCAACACACAAAGGGCTTTGTTGTCGCTGGAAAATATTTGTTGTATTTGTATTTGTTTTTGTATTTTGTATTTGTATATTTGCATTTTCCTAAGCGGATTTGTCTGCCATTGTTTTGATTTATTTATTTTATTTCGATTTTGTTTCGCTTGTTTGCAGATGCTTTATTTTATCTAATTTCGTTGAAGTGCAACAGGCAGATATTAAAACTATTTTATTGCATATTCTTTTATTTATTTAGTGACCCAACTGATTTAGTAATTTATTCATTAGTTTTGGTTCAGTGGTGCTAAATATATGGAGCTTTGGAGTGACCCTAATATATGGCTACATAAATTCCAATGTTTATTGGAATTTTATTCAAAATAAGCCATGCATTTTCTTGTATTTTATAAAAAATGTAGTTCATAAATCTATGATTAAAAATATAAGCAATTTAAGCAATCAACTGTAAAGAACTGGCACCAAAAATGATGCATAAATCTAAAGAAATTGTGGATAAATGTTATTATTACTTCATGTCACTTGTAATAGATGTTTTCAATCGTTTCGACACTTGGTATTTCTTTGGTTTATTCCTACAGTCAACAATTAAATTATCCCTTTTAAAATCGAATTATCTGTCCCATAAATCAACATATTTCCTAATTTTAAATTCCTAATTAATATGCCTATTCCTCTGCTGTAGCTAAATACATTTACCCATAAACAAATAACATTTAATTAGTGTAAAATTCCATTCAATTATATGGCTAAGCTCCATGGAAAACTCATTATGAAATATATGCTCAAAAAAAATTACGTTTTATACAAGAACAAAAAGCATAAAAAATCCTTAAAAAACATAAAACGCAAAAAAATGTTATCTGACAATTAAGCAAATTAATTTGCTTTCATGTTGCTTATTGTATACAATTTTTGTTTCTCTCTTTCACTGACAGAGAGCATTTTGGCAGCTCATAAAAATGGCGTTAAGTAAGCTTTCACCCAGCCCGCGGAGCAAAATGGATGATGATGTTTTGCCAGCAGAGTGGAACACCCCGGCAGGCACCCCGCACCCCCATCCAAAAGAAAAAGAGCACAAGCAGCGGCGAAAGTTAATTGAATTTATTGTTTTTGTTCTTTTTTTTATGCGGAATTTTCAGGCCTTGCTTTCTGTTTGCATTGTTTTTTTTTCCTCCTGTTTTTCCAGGCTTTTCAGCTCTCGTGTTGTCAGACGCAAATTGGTTTTATTAGGCTCGCTCGTGCCACGTGGGCTGTCGTCGCGGAAAACAATTTTCATTTTCCAGCATTTTTGCTGGAAAATCCCAACCACAAACAAAAACACAATCCTTGACTTTTCAGCTTTTGTTTTATGTGAGAGGAAATAAGTTAAGTAAAAGCGTTCAAAAATACAGAAAAATCTCTTTTTTCAATTTTCTGTGCAAAAGTTTTATTTAATTTTTCTTCAGTATGGAAATTCTTTCACCGACTTCTGTCTCTTGAGAGCTTCAGACACTTGACATATTTTCCTATTAAAGTTTTTTTCGGCTCTGGTATCCACTTTCTTTTCCTCTTTCCTTTCGCTCTTCCTAGTTATTTTTTTCATGTCGTGTCAAAAGAAAGAAGAAAGTAAAATTTGCGGAAATTGCTTTTGCAAGTCAAATTTTTGCTAGTGAAAATATTTTTTGTGAGAGGGGAATTTTTGTTGTGGCCTAAGCTAAGCCAGAAATTTCATTTGCAGGTTGAAGAAAGGCCACCAAAGGTGTCGTTTTGCAGCAGCAGAAATACTTGCACGTGGCGTTTTTTACCGACGGCAATGTACGGGCATAGCGTACAGTTTTTTAATCATACAAAAATATCAATGGACTATCAGAAGTTTCATTAATTTATTCCTTTCATTCGAATATTAAAGAGAATTAGATTCAATCAGTAATCCCCATTCTTCAGTAAACGATAAAATGTATGTAGTCATATTTGTGGCAAAAATTATTTACGACGAAAAATGAGACCCCATTCTGTGAGTAAATTTCCCCTCCTTTGATCAATGCGAACATTTCGAGGGACAAAGATATTCCTGCAGCAAAATTCCATTGGTGGAAAACTCTTCGTGTATAAGCAGTGTGTCACCTTAATCCCATCACCTTGTATCCTATCCTTCCTCCCAAAAAAAAGGTAAATGAACTTAACGCACATACATACACGTATGTATGTATGTATGTATGCCCCATGGGGCAGGCAAGGCACGCGCCAGACAACTTAATTTCATGCCATTCATTATTTTTTTTCTTCATTTAGTGTCAAAACAATTGGAATTTATGTGTCGTCGGTCACACTAATTGACAGCGAAGCCAGGGAAAAACCCAATAAGCTTCCCTCTACGACTCTTGTGGAAAATCAGTTCGCAGCATATAATTCAATGGGAAGCGCCCGAGAAAAGCGGTGCTTGGTGCTTTGGGTTAATGGTGCGTACAATGGTGCAGATTGAAAAGGTCAAATGGGGCAAAGGGTTAGGGTTGGGCACTGCCACTGCCACTGGCACTGGCACTGGCTCTTACACACAAAAATCGCTTCATTTTCTACCGGTTTTGCGAACTCCCGTGAAGTGAAGCTTTCCATCGCCTGTGGAGATGTCCGAACTGCTGCTGCTGCTGCTGCCCTTCATCCCCTGTGCCGATGACCGAGCCAGATGCCTTTTATGGTTGCACTTAAAGTTTTTCTTTTATGTGGCATAAAAAGGGACAACTTTTGTACAACTTTGTTGTTGGTGGCAAGCGGTTGTTTGTTTTTCCTTCGCGTTTCCCCAAGTGTTTCTTTTTGTTGTTGTTATTTTCGTGGCAGTTTTAGCCCAGTTTTTCTACTCGTTTTATATTGCAATTGATTACCATTTGATTTCTTTATTATTTTTAATGCCTGCTGCGGTTTACGGTTGCTACGTGATTGTTCTGTTCGGATTATTTGGTTCTTGGATTATTTACGCAATTTCAAAATGGCATTGCAAGAGAAATGGCTGTGTAACTTTGAGGGGTAGAAAAAAAAGGTAGAACAGAGGCAGACATTTCAGCTATTCATGTGGTTTTATTTTAAGCAGAAGCTTCAATGAATTTAGGGAGGATTTACGAGCTTTTTCCTGTGGAAATTTAGGATAATTTAAAATTTTCCATTTTCCATTCTTCTCGAACAACTTTAGCTCCCAACTTTATAGCTTGTCCTGCCTGTCATGTTCTGCCGTCATTCCATAAAAATCTAAAACAACGTTTAACAACTTGTTTGTGCTGAAAATGTTGCAGCGTGGCACAAAATTGTTTGGCCTTGTTCACCTTGCCTCGAGGTTTCGTACGGTGAACACACAGCAGTTTTCACATACTAAACACTGTGACCAGAGGCACCACAAAATTGACTGCGGTTCCCCAGATATTCATTTTTGTGGCAAAAATCAAGAGGTTGAGGTGGCTGAGGCAGTGTCGTGTGCTGCACACATAATGAATGTTGCATAAATGTCATAAATATGAACTCAGCACGCAGTCCACTCGCTCTCTGACTCCTCTCTGGGGTGCTGTCAACTGAGACTGGAGACTCTTTGCTCCTCTGCTGCTGTTGCCACAAAAAAATAATAAGCATATACATTGGGCCACAACAGCAACAACAAGAGCTGTTAAATGAAGCGTAAAGCTGCTGGCCAACACACACAATCTTGTTAGCCCGAGCTCGGGCCACACACACACACACACAATGTCCAATGGCCAAGAAACATTTTTGCTAAGCGCTCTGCACGTGACACCAGGAAATGTACAATAAATGCTAGTATATTTCTACTAAAAGCTGCTTGTTGTTGTTTGCCAAGAAAGGAGACCCCTATGGTATACACTCTGACATAGACAGGACAGAAGAGAACACTCTGCTACCATCCCAAAAATGATAGAATACTCCTACAATGTGTTCTGGAAAATTGTTGAAAGATTTGAGTTTATGAGAACAATTTTTTGGCTGAGTTGCCAGAGATCTACATCTGTCTGAAATTTATATTTTAATTATACAGATATCAATAATAACTTTGTAGCTTTATTTGAATTTATGAAGAGACATTTTGGAAGATATTTTCATATTCGTTGATAATTGTATTTACGCTTTTTAGTTAATTAAAAAGTTATTTATTTTATTTTATTATTTATATGAGAAGAACAAAATTTAAAAGCTACAATTTTTCGCGCTACTTTTGTATTGGTTTGTGAATTCCGGAACAGCAGTTCCGTTGGACTGTACAACTCATCCATAATTTCGGACAACATGCAGGTTACCTGCTTTCCAGCAGCATTTTAGTTTAGATGTGTCAATTTGCAACGTAGAAGTCGAATCTAGGCAGGCAGGCAGTTACCAGCAGAATGTGTTGTCACACATGTCGTATGCGCAATGTATGTGTTCTCATTGCTTTCGGGGCTCGCCCTGATTATTGTGTCAGCTGCTGTACCACCCTGTTTCCCTGTGTCTATCTGCCAATTGCAGTCTACCTGACCCACGCAATTGCCTGGGCGTGGCCCCAACTGGTGTAGCGGGGGAGGGTGGTTTCTGGCTCTTGTTTCTGGCCTTCCTGGTTATGGCCCTTGTGGCAATATCTGTCCAAACAGATGGAGATGTTCAGATGTGCGTGTGTATGTGCTAGTAGTTCGTGGTGGAGTGCCCTTCCAGTTTGGTTTAGTCTTCGATTCAGCTGTCAGCTGGTAGCAAGATTTTTGGGGTACAGTAATTGCCAAAAGCTGGCTTTAAGGGGGTGGCAAGTGAGTTCATAAGGCTTTTTTGTGGCTTTGTGGTTGGGACTTTAATTGGCAGTATAGTCCAAAGAAAAGGCTGATTGTTGGGGTTAGTTGTGAGTAGTTTTGGACTCGAATTTGTTTGGGTATTTTACAGAGATTGCAATTGGAATAAGGGGTGATAATGGATATGGGATTGGAGATTA